GAGAGAGAGAGAGAGAGAGAGAGAGAGAGAGAGAATGTGTGTGTGTAACTTATAAACATTAGGTTAGTCACTCAAGTACTCAAGGGAAGAGGGACAGACAGACAGACAGACAGACAGACAGACAGACAGACAGACAGACAGACAGACAGACAGACAGACAGAGGAGGGGGAGGAGGAGGAGGGGGAGGAGGAGGAGGGGGAGGAAGATGGGTAGGAGGAGGAGGAAGAGGAGGAGGAGCAGTAACAGTAACAGTAACAGTGACAGCAGTAGCAGTAGGCTGTGAGCTTTTTCTAAGACACGTTAATATAACGGCCCACAGCTGTCCAACGAAAACGTACCAGACCCCTGCCCTAGATCACGCACTCTGACGCAATTCTGGTTCTCTAAGGAACGCGCCACTTGATCCTGTTTGAAGCCAAATAAAGAGCAAGAGGCAACGTCTTCCGTATGATAAATTATACTGTCCCCGTCATTTTATGCAAGGAAAATTCTGAAATTATGCAAACTGAGCCCAAAAATGTGAAATTATGCGATTCTGTTAATTTTAACAAAGAATGGTAAAGGAAAATAATCAGAAATTATGAAAAAAATAATCAAAATTTGCTTAATTATGCTGGGTGCATAAAACCACGGGTACAGATTATATTTTATACAGTAAGCGGCGGCGAAGCGGTTAGTACTCTCGTCTCCGAAGCGGGAAGTCTGGGTTCGAGACTCTGTTCGGACACGGATTTTTTTTCGCCCCCTCCTGCCCACCCAGCAGTAATGTGTACCTAACTTTGAGTTGGAGAAGTAAAGGCGGCGTGGAAAGAAACTCGCCACCTTACCACAAAATGCCGAAAGCCCAGGGAGTTGTCTCACTAACAAGGCAATCTCCAAAGTCCGGAACGGATGCGGGAACAACTTAACTTTTTACAGTAAGTATTGACAAGGGGAAGGGGAGGGGAGAAATATGACAAATGGGAAAGGGGGGGGTGGCAAAGAGGGCAATAATACTTGCTGACAGAACTTGATAATTTCCACTTAAGCGGGACGGATTGTTTTGTCCTTCCTTCGAGTGTCAATTGAGAGCATGTTTCTTGAAGAAGTTTTTTTGCTTTGTTTTGTTTTGTTTTATAATATACACGTAGTTAAAAAGCGGGAGCCAAGTCGGTGCACGGTCTTTTCATTTTTCTTTCTTTTTTGTAGTTGTTGTTTTCGTTGTTTGTTTTTTTAATTTATTTTTATTTTTGTTAGTGTTTTAGGGTGCTCGTAACTGCATAAAGTCATGTGAGTGCGCGGGACAGATGTACATTAAACATTTTCAGTTGGGAGGACATTTTGAATTTCGCCCGGTGGTGGCCGAAGCCTAGAGCTACTCTTTTCGCTGTTGGGCCATCAAGGTATCTTTTAAATGCGAAATTTGCACACAGGACCTCCGAGATTTTTCGCCTTTGTCCGAGAGGGCTAGGTGTTAGATCTTACCTACCAGAAGATCAGGGGTGTGGCTGAAAGACAGCAGTAAGTAAAGAGTCAGGAGCCCAGAGGAGGGGGCAAAGGAGGTGAAGGGGTGGAGTGGGGGCAGAAAGTGGAGACGAAAGCAGACGACAGAACACTGTTAGAGAGCAAGAAAGGGGGGGAAAGGAGAACATTTTAGAAAAGAAAATTCCTATCGTTGTCTGGATTCGAACCCGTGACTTATTGAATGAGAGGAGAACACCGTAACCTCTAGACCACGAGAGCCCCCAGTGCACTGTCTACGATAACGCCATAACTTTAGTTTTCCTACGAGTTTTACGGCACTTTCAAGACAATAAGATCGCCATATAAGTGCCATAGAGTTGTTACAAGAGAGTAACAAACACAAAAAAGAAGGAGAGATCAGGACGATAGATACTTGATAAGAAAGTATGAGTAGGAGTAAACCACATCAGAGCACCTGCCAACACCCTCGATAATACATCCCTTCAAGGCTCATCAAGAGCAGACATCGGCGGTCATGGTCATGGTTCTCCTTTTATTCCTTTTGTCGGATGCCTTTAAAAAAGCAACGTTCCCCTGATCTCTCCCCGTTACCCATCTCTTTAGCTAGGTTCTCTAGACTCTAAGTAGTTGCCTCTAGGCCTATACCTGCCTCGGGGGGGGGGGGGGGGGGTGCTGCTCTCGTGGCCTCTCACTTGAAGGTCCCTGGTTCGAATCCGGGTAACGACCGAAAAAATTTCTTTTCTAAAATTGTCTCATTTCACCTTCTTTCCTTCTCTCTTGCAATATTCTGTCGTCTGCTTTCGTCTCCACTTTTTCCCCCCACCCCTCACCTCTTTCTTCTGCCTTTCTACTGCTACTCCTTGGCTCCTTCTTGCTGCTGTCTTTCTGCCACTCCCCTGATCTTCTGGTAGGAAAGATCTACACCTAGCCTTCTCGGACAAAGGCCAAATATCTCGGAGGACCTGTGTGCAAGTTGTGCAAGTTAAAGATCCCTTGGTGGTCCAAAATAAGTAGGTTTCAGCTGCCACCCGGGCAAAATTCAAAACTTCCTACCCTTTGAAAATGTTTAGTCTGTCCCGCGCGCTCATAAAATGACCTTATGCAGTTGCGAGCGCCGTCGCCGTAAAACACTTACCAACCAAAAAAAATAAACAAAACAAAACAAAAAAACAGCCTTGTTTGCCTTTTTTGTCAGTGAGAGCTGGATGTTCAACTTGAACTTCAAGACCTTTATGTCTCTTCCGGTGTCCCAAAAACTGCATTTGTTTTTTCCTGATTATTTTTAACAGTGAGCGTCCCACTGCCTCATTTGATTTCTTTTCCTTCCACGATATTCTCAGAAGTCTCCAAAGAAACCACATTTCAAGTTCAAGTCGATTCTAGCAAAAGTCAAATGACATGTACGTGGTGGCAAATAATTCTGTCGACGTGGATGGAGCCACGGTGTAAACTTTGTACATGATGAGGTAAACCTTCTCTCTCTCTCTCTCTCTCTGTCTGTCTCTCTCTGTCTGTCTGTCTCTCTCTCGTCCCTCCATCTTTCTATTTCGCAAAATGGGTGACCGTGTTCATGTAAAAAGTTTTCTTCACTTTACCAGTCCCCGGGGTGCACCCCGCATAATTTAGCAAAATTTTTTTTTGCATAATTTCTTATTATTTTCCTTTAACATTCTTTGTCAAAATTAACAGAATCGCATAATTTGACATTTCTGGGCTCTGCATAATTTCAGAATTTTTGGGGTATAAAACCGCGGGGATATCTTTCCAAGTGGCATGCTTCATTTATTACTTCAATTTCAGAGAAACACCTAGTTTTGTATTTTTTTAAAATAAGCAAAAAACTCAGCACACTATATCAGAACTCTTTACAACTCAAAATAAATGCCTGTGTGCAGCATGCGTAAAGATAATTACACGTTACACTATATCTTAAGCCTTTTATTTTCTTGTATGTAAATAAATATGATGACGTCATTATTTCTTGCTGTGTTGAACGGCAAGGGCAAAGGGGACTTACCAGAGACTATTGCAATAAATCATGATTTATAGTCTCAAGACTTACTCAACTGCGTTGCTTCCATAGATTTTAATAATAATAATAATATAATCCTAGAGTGTACACTGTCATGGCCGTCGCTCTTTGCTCCCTATAAAAACATGGCTGCGAAAGTCGTGCATCATGGACGCCCAAATTAAATAAAGGACAGAATAGTAGATAAGTAGTGGACACATACTCACCCCGTGACCCCCATCCCTTTTCCCCCCTCTTTTTCGCTTTAATTTTACTTCCTTACTACACGTTACGCCATCTGGCGTTTAGGGCAGCAACAAAAGATCTCCAGCTCTGTCTGTTTTTGGGCCATCTTGGTCAACGTCCTCTACGAATGGCTCCTGGACTTCATTTCAGACTCCACTGTGCGTCTCCAGATCTCTTTGGGTGTACCCTTCTTGTGATGTCCTTCGGGTGACCAGTGAAGGGCAGTCTTTACAATACTGTCCCCGTGGTTTTATGCACCCCGCATAATTTAGCAAAATTTGATCATTTTTGGCATAGTTTCGGATTATTTTCCTTTACCATTTTTTGTTAAAATTAACAGAATAGCATAATTTCACATTTTTGGGCCCGGTTTGCATAATTTCAGAATTTTTCTCGCATAAAACGACGGGGACAGACAATAGAGTCTGGTTCTCTTCTCAGAACATGCCCAATCCATCTCCATCTTCCCCTTGTTATTATGGTGGTTATGTCCTCTTGCCTACATTTTTGTAAAAGATCTGCTTTGGAAATCTTGTCGGGCCTGAAGATTCGGAGGATTTGGCGTGAACTTTAGTTTTACCAGGACTCATAATCGTCAGATTGCAAGTTCGGGGGTTCGAGCCTCAAGCCCGACGTTGTGTCCTTGGGAAAGATACTTTTTATGCGAATTTTCCTCACTTCACTTTGGGGGGAATGGCTACCTGGCCACCGACAGAGAACGATCTTGTCAGTATGTTAGTGTTTTAGCGCCCATACTATAAATGGCGGCTTGCACAGTATGCTTCCAAGGAAGTTGACATTGCTTCAGAAAGCTATCAGGTCTTTTTTAAAGTTTAGTTTTAGAAGAGGTTTTACGGCGCTCAAAACTGCATAAGGTCATATATGAGCTCCAGAAGATTAGAGGTGTTACAAGAGAGTAACAAACAACAAAAAAGAAGGGGAGATAAGGATGATAGATGTTTGATAGGAAAGAAGAAGCAAGCCACACCAGGGCACCCGCCAACCAACCACTCCGCCGCCACTGTCTGATCGTTGCAGCCAGCCGATAAAATTCTCATTTCACAAATTCATCAAAAACAACACGTACATGTTTTGTCGCAAAAATGTCAGAAACACATGCAGTTTATCAAAATTATTCATAGACTTGCTGTATTTTGAAGGTCACAGAAAGTAGTTCTTTGATTCCATCATAACCATATCTTTTGTATTTTAGGGTGGACAGTGGTCACAAAATAGAATCTACTGATTAACAAAGACAAAAAACTGACAAGCCACATGGATTTCAATAAGACAAAATTTATTGTTAAAAAGGTTGTTCACAAGCGCAAGAAACATTACAAATAAATAAAAGTAGCAACAAAAAGAAATGTTTTAAAAACTAACAAATAAAGCAATCCAGAAACCAAATGATACAAAAATGGTGGAGACGTCCTGGTCAAAATCATTAGTACATTGATGGGCATGTACAGGTGCTTGAATCTACAACTCTTATCTCTCTCTCTCTCTCTCTCTCAACCCACCTTGACCTCTCTCTATCTCAATTTCTTTTTCTCCATATCTCTCATGCACAACTTCTCTCTCTCCCTCTCTCTCAGACTCACAAGCACACATCACTTTACAGATTACAGACACACAGTCTACACAAATTGTCAATTAAAGTTAAAATGCTTACTAAAACTTCAAGTCCTGCACCTTCTTCAACAGACAGTTCACATTTCATCACAATCACTTCCTCCACCAGCTGCTTCATTCCAAGTGACCACCACAGCCCCTCAGGTAGAGAGACATACAGTGTGGCAACCTGTTACATTCAAAAACCTCCACCGCACCTTACCGAGGAAAAAAATCCTTGAACGATTTAATAATGATCAACTTTGGCATTGCTTTCATGGCTGATAATTTAATGAAACTACTACATTTACAGCGCTATTCTCTTGCCACAGCAACAACAATTTTCATTACGGTACAAGTAACAGAAAAATCACTGAAAAGAACAAAGGAAAGTAAAGCAAAGCATACACCAGGCACCCGCCACACAAAGACGACACATCTGTCTCTTGATAACACACTCATCACAGAGATGACACGTGTGTCTTGATAGCAAACTCATCACTGACAGAGATGACACATGTGTCTTGATAACAAACTCATCACTGACAGAGATGACACACTCATCACTGACAGAGATGACACATGTGTCTTGATAACACACTCATCACTGACAGAGATGACACATGTGTCTTGATAACACACTCGTCACTGACAGAGATGACACATGTGTCTTGATAACACACTCATCACTGACAGATCTGACACGCCTATCCTGTCTACAGATCTCTGCAGTTGGCTGATTCCTCTCACTGACCCCAACACAACTATGACAAAACACAACTGGCTGCTCACATGTCAAAGCATGAACAAAACACAAATAGCGAAAAAATGAAGAGAGGAAAATAAAAAGAAGAAAAACAGCTGTCTTTGAACAGAACTGTGCTCTGCTATACCAACAACTGATGGGAAAATGGCCACATTTTGCCAGAGACAGACTAAGACACGTCCGAGATTGCTGTCAGACCAAAGTGCCGCAAGCCCCGGACCCCAGACATCAGACATGTGAGAATGTATCAGCCCTGGCCGGCTTGACTCAGACAAACAAAGGGATGTAACACTACTAATGCTGCCACTAATGCTACAGATGGCACAGTAGATCTCAACACACCATCAATTAATTTGGTAAACTCGTGTAATTTCAATAAGAAAAATATTTTACAACTATAAAGGCGTTCTTCATTCAAATAGCTTTTCTAAGCTTGCTTCTGAACAATTTATATTGATTCAGTGCAAAGGATTCTCCCACCCACCAAAGTCCCAACAAATAGACAGACATTCGATTTTGAAAATTGAAAAAAAAAAAAAAAAAAAACACTCCCCAGAAGCAAACCAAACTCATCTCTCAATGAAATATCTACAACAATTCCAATCCACGCCTTCGGAGCATAAAGTGAAGAGTGTAGGTACCATCCATTACACCACACACACCAGTGCTTTGTTATGGTAAGAGTATAGCGGCACTTGCAACACAATAAGGCAACATAAGTGCCGAAGATGATAGAGGTGTTACGAAAGAGTAGCAACAAGACACCAATGCTTAAAATGACAGATTTATAATGTTGACATCAGTAACAAAACAAAAAAAGAGAGAAAAACAAGAGGGCTTTCCCGCGTGAGTATTCTTACACATTTCCAAACAAACAACACTCGATTAAACCATGCCCTCTCTACAAATGACTCATTCTCTAAAGCAATATCACTACAGGTCACCTCCACAGTTAGCACAGGGTCACACGGTGAAATCTGAGCACAGCACTATTACACATGCACACTGTCACAGACGAAATACTCTCAGACTTTTTTGTTTCCTACAGTTGTCAACCCCTTCAAAGCCGTACAGACATACCTGCTAATTCATGGAAAATGGCAAAACTGTCCACATCTTGACGTAATCAGGAAAGGCAAAATACGTATCAAAAGTGCCAAAACACTGTCACAAATATCTGTACCCACTTCCCACCCACATCCAAAATGACTTCTGGACTATTCCACGGTATCTGACGAGACAATTAGACTATACAAATAGATTTCTTACAATGATAACACAATAATTCAATATCAATGACCAATTAATTCATTTCAACATTAAATGATCAGAACATGTCATTTGAAAGACATAATATTAAGAATAATATTAAATGCAGTCATTTGAAAAAAATGTACTTTATGCAAATTCCGTGACAAGTTTAGTTTCAGTAACTGACGGGACAAAAGAGGCCTTTTTACTGTCCCTTCAGTTAACGTGGAATAGTCCTCACTTCCACACATGCATGAAGCCTTTTCAAGAATCTTACACCAGACAAAGATTTATTTTATATTTTTTATATGCGTACAACAAAAGTTTGTTATGGCAAAGCACAGAGTAAACCAATATCTACCGGACTACTCAAGACTCTTGCTGTTAACCTCAAACAGTCACTCTATACACAATACAGTGTGAGCATCAACAACGTCCTGTACTCATCATCAGACACACAAAACCTACTATCACACACACACACATGTACCTGTGACTGCAAACCTCAATTAATAATAGTCACTCTCTATCCAATACAATGTCAGCATCAACCATGTACTGTACTCATCATCATCATCAGACACACAAAACATACCATGACACATGCGCGAGAATGTCGCTACCAAACTCTACAATCACTCTATATACTCTCTATCACATACAACATCAGCATCAACCACGTACTGTACTCATCATCATCATCAGACACACAAAATATACGACACAAGCGCGAGAATGTTGCTACCAAACTCTACTATCACTCTATATACTCTCTATCACATACAACATCAGCATCAACCACGTACTGTACTCATCATCATCAAACACACAAGAAAAGCCACCCCACACACATATGAGCTTTTAACTGCTCTCTCTCTCTCTCTCTTTCTCTCTCTCTCTCTCTCACACAAACCCACACACTGCTCTAGCTGCAGGCTTCCAACATAAGCACCCCACATAATTTCATCCTCTCTCTCTCTCTCTCTCTCACAAACCCACACATTGCTCTAGCTGCAGGCTTCCAACATAAGCACCCCACATAATTTCATCCTCTCTCTCTCTCTCACAAACCCACACACTGCTCTAGCTGCAGGCTTCCAACATAAGCACCCCACATAATTACATCCTCTTTATCTCTCTCTCTCTCTCTCACTCTCTCTCTCACTCTCTCTCTCACACACACACACATTGCTCTAGCTACTAGCCTCCAACATGTAAGCGTCCAGCTCCGTGTCCAGCACCGACTTGGTCTTGGCCATGTACGTGTCCAGCTGACTGTCCAGGTCATGCTGCGTGACGGGCGCCCCGCTGTTGTTGTTGTTGCCGCGGCCCCGTCCACCGCGCCCGCCCCTGGGCCCTCCTCTCCTGGCCCCTCGGCTCATCCCGCGACCACCGCCGGGGGCCCCTCCCCCTCCTCCTCCGCGCCGGATGACAGTGCTCTGTCCCGTCAGTCTATAAACAAAACAACACACAGGGAAAGAAAGAGAAACGGTTAATTTACACAACTTTTTTTTCCCACTTCGACTTATGATGTAGTGAGACTTCCAACAATGAGGTCATATTATAAGTCCCAAAAATTTGAGGCTTTACAAGAGAGTAAGAGTGAAACACACACACACAAAAAAAGGAGGAGAGATAAGGACGACAGATTTTTCTATAAGAAAAAAGGAGCAAACCACACCAGAACACTCGGACTCGCCAACCACCTACCATTTCAACTTAGGGCGAGGACTCCGCCAAACGCCATTTTAAAAAGTGACATATTATGACCAGAGTCTTTCACTGAGCAGTCGACATGTGGTACAAGTGTCTGGTCTAGATAAGAACGTAGAAAAAGAAAGCAGACATAGATTATTATATCAATCAGCCCATTGAGTACTGTCCTGGTGGAAATGTGCTATATAAAAGCAATCTATTATCATTATTATGATTATTATCATATTATAATCCAAACCCATAGCACAACAAAAGAAAATATCTCCACATTAGATAAAGCATAATATTACAAAGAACAAGAAAATGAATAAAAATCACTTTACTTTACTGGCTTTTCTTTGAAGTAAAAGAGAAAAAAAGTAAAATGAAGAGAAATTCAAAATGTGCTAAGCAAAGCTAAAATGCTCAAGGAAATGCGTCTGCGTGTTTTAAAAAAACGAAATCTTCTCTGATAGTGAGATAAACAACAATCCATTTATCTCAAAATGGAGAAAGTTGCTGTGACATGGTATAAATACATCTAAGCACACATCAAAACTCTGCCCCCCCCCCCCCCCCCCCCCACACACAATTACAGCAGCACACACACAAATAGTCATTGTATGGAAAAACAAAATACTGCTATTCTCTCCTCCCTGTCCTGTCGCATGAAGGATAAAAAACCTGTCCGTCCCTCCTGTACAAAATAATTCCACAGCGGGAGAACTTTGCTGGAGGGCTGAAACCAGGGCCATCCACACTACAGGCCAACAGCAACACAGAAACAGCCAGTGACGCGCACACACACACACACACCCTGCAACAACATGCTTTCAAGTGGGCCAGGACTTTGCTTAGCAGGCAGATCTTCAGCTCATCAGATTTTTTTTTTAATTTGATGGGTTTTTTTCTTTTTTCTTTTTAAAATGTGGGTAGGTAGTTTTACCCAGCCATTGATACAATCTAGATCAATTTAGGCTTAACCCACGCCTATCAGGGCCAATCCCGGCAACGAAAGACACAATGTCTGGGCGGAAAGATGGAAATTCTCAAAATACATTTTTTTCCACAGGAGAATCACTCAAGTCTTTAACGTGTAAGAGAAATATGCCTGACAGCTACACCACAAATGTTAATAAGCACATCAGGCAGAAGGAGAACATCTCTGCAGTGGGAACACACAAACATATCAATGGCTAGACAAACACGGTATCCTGCCTGCATCACTGATTTCTTTCTCACACCACAAGTTCAAGTACTTCACCTACAAAACAACTATTAATGTCTGTATAATAGTGAAATACTCCCAAATTGTTTAAAGTGTAGTTTTAAAAAGGTTTAACGGTGCTCTCGACAGCATAAGGTCATATGAACACCAATGGGTGGATGTCAACAGAGAAGTCCAAACCGGAAAAAAGGCTTACTCTGCTCACCTCTCTCTCTCTTTCTTTTTTTATAGTAGAGGGTTTTACGGCGCTCGCAACTGCATTAGGTCATATGAGCGCCAAGGGGTGGGTGTCAACAGAGAAGTCTTTACAGGGAATCGGACTTACTCGGCTTACCTCTCTAGCTTCAATAGCACAAGGTCTGCTTCGACTATCAAGGCACCCCAAAAATAGCAGGTCACAAAAGAGTGACAAACATACAAAAGAAGTAGAGGGAAATGACAATAGTAAGGATTAGGGAAGAAAAAGCAGCAGTTCCCTGTTGTAGGGCACAGTTATGAGTGTGACATGAATTAGCCCATTTATAATTCTTGAACGAGAAATGTCCCCCCTTTGGGAATGGCCTTAAGACACTACAGTCAGTTCACCTCTCTAGATTTTCTCAAAACAGCATTTTTTGGGATAGCCCGCAAGCGACCACATGTAGTTGATAAAGAAAACCTCCGCACCATACACTTATTTCTTTTTCATGTGACAGCGACTAACCGTTAATCCACACACACACACCCAGTTACGTTTATTTTGGGGTAAGACTAAATCAAAACAAGACTAAACAGAATCAACAGTCATCAATCTTGACTAAACTGTCAGTTTGGATCAAGGTAGCATTTACAAGATAGCGCACTCACTAACTGCAGGCTATCAGGCCATCACCATGCTTCTATCCTACATAGCATTAATGGTGACATAGCACTGAGAGGAGGAAAAGAATGGGAGAAAAGCCTACTGGGACTAGGGGATCATTCAACTGACTGCGGCAGAAAAGGAAGCAAAATGAAATAAGGGATCATTGTCTGGTTCACCAAAGAAAATACTCCCCACCCCACCCCCCCTTTCCGTCAAAGAACAAAGCAAATTAGTTGAGGTAAAGAGAAGCACATCTACACAAGACCCAGTAACAGCCATTCTGTGCCAAGAAAGAGCAAGACAGGCAAACAAAATCACTTGAGGGAAATAGAAAAGAAGTAAGACCTCCCAAAAGCACCCTCCAAACACCCTTGCAAATACTCAATATTCACATTTCTGAAACAAAACAGTTTCTGGGATAGTCGTGACAACTTTTCGCCTTTGTACAAGTTTAACACTGAACGTAAAGCAAACAGATCAGCTGGAAAGTGAAGCTTCTGTGTAAGAGCAAAGATAGGAACATTTGCATTGGGGAGGGACAGGAATCAAGAATTTCAGTTTTAGTAAGAGTTTTACAGCACAAGCAACACAATAAGGTCATATAAGTCCCGAAGAAGAGATGTGTCTCAAGAGACTAACATACACAAAAAAGGAGGAGAGATATTTGATAGGAAAGAAGGAGTAAACCACACCAGAGCGCCCACCAACCACCCACGGAAGCAAGACAGCACCCGGGAACTATGGAAGGAGAATAAAGAAACTGTGGACATAGAAGCAGCACCCTCTACCCACCCATTTGAAAGGAAGAGAACTGAAAGAGGGTGGTCAGAGATTATAAAAACGGAAAAGCAGCTTGGTCTCCACTTGGACAAAGAGAGAGAGAAGCCCATCCACACAACAACTGCTTTATAGTGCAGGAGGAAAAAAAGCCAAGGAGACACAAAAACTACTGAGCGAAAAAACCAAAAAACACACTAGAAGTAGAACCTCTGCACAGCTCTCTTTGATCACCCACAGGACAATAAGACGACGGCAGGGACCATACAATAAAACTTTAAAAGTAGACGTCTCATGCCTCCACCAACATGACGATTCAGATCATTTACAAGGCAGACTGCACCGACCCTGCATGTCACTAGTGTCAGGGCCAACCCAGGCTGAGAGGGATACAGTATCCCAGCAGACAGACAGAGACTCATGTCTTCCGTGCGTGGCCACAGTGAAGTGCCTAACTATCACCTACACCAAAGACACCCGTACAACAAACAACTGCTATTTAGTACAACAGAGGAAAAATAGACAAGTTTTAGTTTTAGTAGAGGTTTTACGGCGCTCGCAACTACATAAGGTCATCTGAGCGCCAGAAGATTAGAGAGGTGTTACAAGAGAGTAACAAACATAAAAAACAAGAAGGGGAGATAAGGACGATAGATGTCTGATAGGAAAGAAGGAGCTAACCAGTCAGACCAATAGTGGTCAAGCGCTATATGATATTATCATTATTCTAATCAACGACAGCACCTTTCAGCCACTGACAGGCTGGAAAGAGAGAGAGAGTTGTTTTCGATTTAGTAAACGTTACAACACTTGCAATACAATTAGGTCATATTTTATAAGTGCCAAAGACTAGAGGTGTGAAAAGTAACAAACAGAAAAAAAGGAGAGACTAAAACTGATAAACTGTTGTTATGAAAGGAGAAAACAACAACAGAGCATCCGCGAACTGCCCATAGACAGAGCTGATGCAACAATATGAACCTGACAGCGCGTCGTACATCTGAGAACAGGCGACAAAGCTCAGGGGGAGGGGGAGATGTTTATCTTTACAGATCACAGATATTGTACCTCCAGTTGGAGTGCTCCGAGTCCGTGTTGGGGGGAACAAATAGACGGCAGACACACGACGAAATGAACACGTTAAGCGTTAGTGTCACAATCAGGCATGCCAGGAAAACTAGCACGACATGTTTTACGGTACTACTCTTGAGGGGGAGGAGAGGAGAGAAAAAAATAGCAACATTGACTTAATTATTAGTCAATTACTGCCATATAGAGGGGAAACAAAAACAAAAACTAAAAAAAGAGGGGGAGTAAAGAACGGCCTATTGTTTGTTTGAGTAAAGAGAGGCACATCGACACAATAACTGACATTACTTGCTGTGGAATAGCAAGACAGATAGATGACAGAATCAAAAGAAGATCAGTAAAAAAAAAGTTAAGAGCAGTCTGGCTAATTCCCATATCTTGACTTATCACAGCGAACTCAGGCTGTGAAGAACACAACATCAATGCAGATAGGCGCAGACAATCTGATAAAATAAATAACTTCAATATACACAGACACAGGAATCGAACTCACACCTTCAAGAGCAACTACAAACAGCTCAACTATGACACAACTGACACCAGTCAGTCCCGCCAGCAAATAAACCGACAAATGATAGAAAACCTGGCAAAAGAAGTGTGCTTGTGGAGAAGAAGGAAGTGCTGAAAGTTCAGCCTGAAATCAGAGGCATGAGTGGTCAAACTATACGCCTTATATTCAAAGGAGTAATCTTGCTTTGAGACTGAGAATGCCCTCCCACTCAAAAACTTATTTTTATTATTTGCAAGTCTTTCATTCAGAGTAGAGTCAGAGGTCTAAGGCATTGTTTGTTTCTTGGGTTTCGAGTTGCTAGAACACCCTCTTCACCCCCCCACCCCCCTAAACAGGACTCAGGACATAATGTTCATACACATATTGTGCTGCAAATAAAGGCTTACATCACTTCTGAAAAAGAAAAAGTCCTGAAAACTTAAAAGCTTAGCAAAGTCTGTGGTGCATCTGAATTTTGTGCAAGTGACCTACCCAGCACCAAGGAAGAAAAAGAACCAAATCTTGATAAAACATGATTTCAAAATTGTATATCAATAGAATACATGTAAGAAAAAGAACGTAACAAGGATAAAATATAAAGAATAAGACATAGATATAGAATATCCCATTATTATGACGTAGATAAAGTACATAGAATATGACATAAATAAAGACTGAAAAGAATATGTAAAGTATAAAAAAATATGACATTGAATATAAAATATAGATAACATAAATTAAGTATAAAGAAAATGAAATAGATAAAGAATATGACTTAGATACAGAATACGATATATACATATACACATACATCTGACACCTCATATGTGTAGGCTTCTGTATGAGTGAACACAGTCACAGTGATACACACAAACAGGTCTTAGAGAAGGCTTGAGTAAAGAAAAGCACACCGACACAATAATGGTCATTTAGTGCTGGGAAAAAGTCACACAGACAGATAAAAACAACAGAGAAAAGACAAAGACGTTGGACCTACCAGACACAGCCTCCGACCACCCACCCGTACTCAACAGATGAAAACAGGTCACAACAGCTTGAACGCACACCGTATGTGGTGGAAACTAAGGCCTAAGGACGGGCCGGTCAGAGACAAGGCTAAGCAACACGGTAGCTATGACCACAGTAACTGCTTGAGGAGTACCCAATACGAGATAGGTTTTTTTAAGTAAGTGTTTTACAACACAATAAGGACATATAAGTGCCGAAGATTAGAGGTGTTACAAGAGAGTAACAAACACAAAAAAGAAGGAGAGATCAGTATGATAGAAGTTTTATAGGAGAGCAGGAGCAAACCACACCAGAGCACCCGCCAACCACCCACATACAAGATAGATCACACCACCACAGCCACAAGTCCCTTGAAGACAAAAAGCTCTCCCACTTGGGGGCTGGGGGCCACTTCAACAGACAACTGCATCATGTGCGTAAACACTTACTGTCCATACCTACAGGGGTGTGGGGGCCTTTATAGGAACAAAAAGACAGCTAATAGATACTTAGACAAACCACCCCCTCCCACCCCACAAAACTTCAAAATACTTGTTCAGATGGTATACAGTCCACAGGAAAAGGAAACGATAAAAGAGCTAACAAGCAAAAAAAAAATTCTGCCCATGACCTTGAGCGATGATATCCGAAGCTCCCTGTAGCATGTGTCCGCGACATTAAAAGTGAGAAATAATATGCCAAAAACAAAAGCAAAACAAACAAAATAAGATCAGGTCAGCAAAGAAGTCTGGGAATAAAAATCAAAAGGACAGGGTGCGGTTAGTGTGTGCAAACAGGCACAGAGACAAACAGTGACAACTGTTTCAACGGGAGGGAAAACTGCACCATGGAGACCAATTTCTCATACACCACTAACCCCCC